TACTTTTTCAGCTACTATTTTACTCTCATCCTTTGGAAACAACATTCAGCACCTGGATCTCTCAAGGGCTCTGAGAAACTAGTTTATTGTTCACACCCCTTTTGACACACAATCTTTTTTTCTTTTTTAGACACAAGGTCTTACTATGTTGCTCAGGCTGGTCTTGAACTTCTGGATTCCAGTGATCTTACAGCATTAGCCTCTTTAGTAACTGAGACTGTAGGCAAGTACCACCATTCCTGGCTAATGATGTACCACCTTTTAGCAGCTCTCTTTTCTCTTCTATGTAGCATTATCTCTCTATCATTTTTTCTTTTATTTTGTTAAAATTATATGTGTTTAATAGCTCTTTATTTTGTGTTTCATTAATGTATACAGGCAATCCTTTATTCAAAAAATGTTCAAACTTTCAAATACCCCAGATTCAGCTTTTAGGCAAAACCTGAAGTCAAATTACATAAACTAGGATGGAAGGGTTCTATGATGTTTCTCTCCATGAAAGAAACAGAATAAATAAAACTCTCTTCTAGAGAAAATCCCAATGACTTGGTATTTTCCAAAATACATAGAAATTCACAAAGTATGAAATACTTGAACAAAGACCTGATGAGATTAAGTTATAGGTCATGCTCATGAGTCTATCTGAAGGAAGAGCTTTCAGAAAAAGCCAAGAGTGAACAGGAAAGGAAAAGACCTTGAGGTAGGGCTCTGTCATATTAAAGGAATAGTAGTAAAGTACTATGCCTAAAGTAGAGAGAGAGTGTTGAAAAGATCCTAAAGGGCTTCATAGACCATTGAGAATTTGATTGGTAATCTGATAATGATGGAAGTGCACTGGAGAATCTTGAGTAGGTGAATAATGAGATCTGTTGGCATTTAGAAGGATCAATCTGGTTGATATGTTATTTGCTGAAAACAGAGTTCACAGATGCAAGGACAAAATAATCAATTATACAATGCAGTACATTAAAAAATATAACTTTACTGTATAATTCATTATTATGTGGTCTTATTGGTTGAAACTTTAAATAATTTAAAGGAATCTACAATCAAGATTGAATGATTTCAATTAATTTAATTACCATTTCAGAGATATGGAACCACAGAGCTTTGAGAATTTAATAAGACTCAAACAGCTTCCTTAAACTACCAATATGAATAGGATAATGGAGTTTGAATAAATTCTGTCTCTTTAGAGCCAGTGTTATTTCACATCATTTATTTATGGGTATAAACAAAAAGCCAGTGTAAATTTCCCATATGACTATTAAAGAAACCACAATGTATACTTAGTGCCTATTAATAGTATGGATATTTTTCTTATTATATATGTTGGATTAATTTTGAATGAAAGTAATTATCACCTTTAATGAGAAGAATGAAAATTTATTATAGATGTGTTGAATAGTATAATAACTATTAGAAATAATTGAAAAGTAGAGAGTAATTTGGCTAATTTAGAACAGTCAAATGCAGGTGGTCATTAGAGCACATTTGGAATGGCTGAATTGCAAGCTTACAAATGTATTTGGGAAGAACAGTCAGGGAAATAAGTTGTAAGTAAGGCCACGATACAAAATATGAAGAACGTGAGGAGAGATGCCAGGGACCTGTAATAAAAAAAATACATGAACTGATAAAAGTAAACATATAGGGCTCAGAAATCAAAGGCAGTTAAAAGGACAGTAAATGGTTAAATCAATTCAGTGGTTCATAGAAATTAGATTAGAGCTCAACTAATACAGATTATCTTGAACAGACAGGGTCTCTATAAATAGAACTTCTATTTGGGGCAGTAACTATGGAGAAAGCACCTGATCCTATTCTTTCCAGAAGGTCCTCGTGATATGATTCTAGGGGGCTTTCTTTATATAAAATATTTACCTCCTTACCAGAATAACCTTCAGAATTTGTATGTTGATGATAATTATATATAAACATTAGCAATTATAATTTTATCTGAAGAGATTAAAGAATAACAATGATCTTTTTAAAAGAAAGAAAAGTAGCTATAACAATTCTTTAAAATGGTAGCAATAATATATCATCCATAAAATCATTTATTAGAATGTAAGTCAAAGATATATAACACAGAATAAATGAGAAAATAAAAGAAAGATGGCAAGGAGCAAATATTTCTGCGTTCCTAAATAAGTTAGGTCTCAGATGCAAGTAACAAAAACAAAAACTGAACAATTTTAGGATAAAATACGTTTGTTAGTAAAACTATACATAACTTACAGGGTAACTGGTAGATAATTAGATTTGGAGCTGTATCATCTGAATGACAAGAAATTTGCATGACAGAAGACCCTACTGCCACTTCTGGGCACCAGATTCAATAGCTTGCTTGCTGATATTGGCACTGGGTTTGGAATACTGCAGCTTGCACCTCCTATACTATTGATAGTCCTTGATTGCTGTTTTCAAAACTTTTATTGCCTTTGGAAACTTGAGCTAGAGAATTTAAAAAATTAAATAAAATAAAAGGGCAAACAAATATTAAATACTTTGTTAATGAAAAATGAAGAAAACAACTTTATAAGTTTATGCAGTTACTACGTTGAAAGAATACACAATCTCCTTGAATCTGGGGGAAAAAAAAAGCTATAAGAAGAAAGAAAATTTGTAAAATGACAATAAAAGAAAAGGAGATAGATCAGACAAAGAAAAACATAAAATCTTCATTGTCATAAAATCCATAATGGCTAAAAACTTAGAGTTAAAAGCATACTGAATATGTACATTAAAATTCTGATTCTGATTTTTGGAAAAAAAATAACAGCCAACAAGTATTTCTTTAGAAAAAATCCTGCCACCTTTTGAATTTCAAGAATAACAAAAATTTGCACACAAAAAAACTTATTTTCTTTAAACTGGTCATTGCTTTTCTATATCACAAAACTTCCCAGAAGAAAATGAAGCAATCACTATAGAATTTTTTAAAATAATGATTTTATTATTATTTTTTTTTTTGAGTTCCAGTGAACATGTGCAGGATGTGCAGGTTTGTTACATAGGTAAACATGTGCCATAGTGGTTTGCTGCACAGATCAATCATCACGTAGGTATTAAGCCCAGCATGCATTAGCTCTTTTCCTAATGCTCTCCTCTGCCAACCTCCCTCAATTGGCTTCAGTTAGTGTTGTTCCCCTCCCTGTGTCCATGTGTTCTCATTGTTCAGCTTCCACTTATAAGTGAGAACATGTGGTGTTTGATTTTCTGTTTTGGCATTAGTTTGCTGAGAATAATGACTTCTAGTTTTATCCATGCCCCTGTAAAAGACATGACCTCATTCCTTTTTATGGCTGCACAGTATTCCATTGTGTATATGTATCACATTTTCTTAATCTAGTCTATCATTGATGCATTTGGGTTAATTCTACATCTTTGACATTGTGAATAGTACTGCAGTGAAATTTGTGTGTGTGTACCTTATAATAGAATGATTTATATTCCTTAGAGTATATACCTAGTAATGGGATCGCTAGGTCAAATAGTATTTCCAGTTCTAAATATCTGAGGAACCGCCACACTGTCTTCCACAATTTTGGTTGAACTAATTTACATTCCTGTCCACAGAGTAAAAGTGTTCCTATTTCTCTGCAACCTCGCTAGCATCTGTTATTTCTTGACTTTTTAATAATCACCAGACTGCCATGCGATGGCAATCAGGCAAAATGAAAAAATAAATCATATTTAAATAGGAAGAGGGAAAGTCAAATTGTCTTTGTTTGCAAATGACATGATTCTATATCTAGACAACCCCATTAACTCAGCCCAAAAGCTTCTTAAGCTGATAAGCTACTTCAGCAAAATCTTAGGATACAAAATCAATGTGCAGAAATCACAAGCATTGCTATACACCTACAACAGGCAAGCAGAAAGCCAAATAATGAATGAACTCCCATTTGCAGTTGCCATAAAAAGAATAAAATATCTTGGAATACAGCTAACAAGGGAAGTGAAGAACGTCTTTAAGGAGAACTACAAACCAACCACTGCTTAAGTATATCAGGGAGGACACAAGCAGATGGAAACACATTCCATACTCATGGTTAGGAAGAACCAATATTGTGAAGATGGCCATACTGCCCAAAGCAATTTGTAGTCAATACTATTCCCATTATATTATTATTGACATTCTTCCCATAATTAGAAGGAATTATTTTAAAATTCATATGGAACCAAAAAAGAGCTTGCACAGCCAAGAGAATCCTAAGCAAAAAGATCAAAGCTGGAGGCATCACACTGCCAGACCTCAAACTATACTACAAGCTACAGTAACCAAAACAGCATGGTTCTGGTACAAAAATAGGCACATAGACAAATGAAAAGAGAATAAAGAACTCAGAGATAAAACCACACAACTACAACCATCTAATCTTCAACAATCCCAACAAAAACAAGCAATGGGGAAACGATTCCCTAATTAATAAATGGTGTTGGGAGAACTGGCTAGCCATATGCAGAAAACTGAAACTGGATCCCTTCCTTACAACCTTATACAAAATTAACTCAAGATGGATAAAGTCTTAAATGTAAAACCCAAGAAACTTGAGGCAGTACCAATCAGGACACAGACATGGGCAAAGACTTTATGATGAAATAGCCAAAAGTAAGTTCAAGAAAAGCAAAAATTGACAAATGGGACCTAATTAAACTAAAGAGCTTCTGCACACCAAATAAAACTTTCATCAGAGTAAACAGACAACCTACAGAATGGGAGAAAAATTTAGCAATCTATCAATCACTACAGAATTTAGGGCAAAATTTTTTAACCTGAGACTTCTGTATTCAGGTAAGCATCTCATTTATATGTGATAGACATAAATGGTGTGCCTATCTATTCAGAGAATCATACATATACCAACCACAAATATATAATTCTCAAGAAATTACCTGCAATAGAACCTTAACAGGTAAAGGAATTAATAAACATATTTTTGGAAAGAATATTTGTGAAATTAATTTGTGAGCTTGTCTTTATTCAATTTCAGATTAGAATAAAGAATGTAAACATATGTTACAAAAGTGAATTCTTGAAATGGAAGACAAACTTGGCCTTGTTTAGCTTCACCATTAGCTCTGCCTTCCACCTCCATTAATAGTATATGTCTCAATCCTTATCTATACTCCAAATTTGAATAGTATAATTTAATTTGTTAAAACTTATAAAATACTTTTCTATTATATCTGTAATAATTTAAATTATTTATACAGTTATTTATACATTGGCTAAAAATACTACACACAATTCTTTGTTAATTCAGAAACTGAGTTTTATTTTATTCTACAAGTCTTCTTTATTATAAAAGAGTTCTAGTAATTATAATTTTTATCTTTCAATTTTATATTGGATAATATGCTTTTCTTATTTAAAAATACTTTTAAAATATTTGTCTTGTATTTTTAACATTTTGTTCATTTAAAAAGTAACCTAGAAGGAAGATTTTGAAATAACTAATTCAAAATATAGAATCTGATTTCAAAAATAGCAAAATTTTTGAAAGTTTTGAAAATGGCAAAACAAACACAAAAAATAAAAACATAAATTGTTGATAATAATTCTACCTAGGTGATATTTAGATTCAAATTTTACATTTAATTCTTTTTCAGTGATTCTACCTTGCCTGAAAACTAGACAAAATAATATTAATAATAAAATCATATGCTATTTTATATGAACTGTATTACCACATAATGTGGAACTATTATTTGCAGTTGACAATCAGTAGAGAGTAAGCACAATGAAAATTGTACATTTCAATTACACGTCAGTGTTTTACCTGAATATCTGGAAGAAATGAAAGTGACTACTTATTTGCTGAATTGAATTAAGATAATTCTGTTACAATGTATTTTGGTTTGTTAAGACTTTGGAATTTTCCTAGTGTTTCAGGAATGCTTATATTGAATGATTACTAAGGATCAATGTCACATGCATTTGAGAGGCTCAAATGAGAGGATTCTGTAGATATTTTCCTTTGAGTTATAGCACTAACATATAATACTCAAACATTAAAGGAGGTCAAACAGTTCTAGTTATATCCATTTTTTTTTATCTTGTTAACATAAGCCATTTAACAAATTATGCAAGAACATTATAATGTGGTCAGACATTCTAATGAATTTTTATTCCAGGCTTGGAAAACTGTCCAAAACACTTCAAGAGTCATTTTCGATTACTAATATATCAAATTGGAGTTTATCCCTATTTATTATTTCTAATACTCACTTTTACATCTCTTGACACTAAAGATATTATCGAAGTATAATCCCAGTGACAAAAATTTTAAGAATTTGATTAAGAAACTTGGAAATATATTTCAGATTCCCTCACACTTAAATATTTATAGAAGATAATATGACAGTTTATTAACAATTGTTTTTTTCAATAGTTCATCTGTTAAATGAAAAATGATACAGTATATTCTTTTTGCTATAATCAGAGGAGCAGAGATATGTTTGTGTTATAGTAAATACATTTTTACTTTTATAATCTTAGGCACTAAAATTAGCTTCTTTTCTATCACAATGATGTTAGAAATATAAAATTAAATATATTTGATATAGAATATCAAATATAAACAATAAAACATTTTGATATGCTTGAACATTATTTCTTAACAGCCAATAGGTAATAAACGTGCATTATTGAGTTGGCAAAAATAAAAAATCCAATTTGTATTTCTATAATTTATGGGGAAATTCTAACATTCTTGAGAAATGAGTGGAAGTTGAGTTTGCTGCTATAATTAGTTCAGGTCTGAGTAGATTTTTCACTCATATGTAAAAAATGTTTGGGAGGGCAAAAAAGAGAAATAAGAAATAAATATATTTTATTATGTTCCCATAATATCCTTTCAAAGAGCACAGACACTTTGTAAGACTCCATCATCAGTAATCTACACTTTGAGAGGTAAGTAGGTATGATTCTTCTAGTTGAAATTCCATGTTGGAAATAGTTTGTCTGTCTGTCTGTCTGTCTCTCTCTCTCTCAATGAAATGCTTATTCTTTAAGTAAGTTGAATTAAAATCCCAGTTAGAAACGTAAAAGGTCACTTGCTTGTTTGTTTATGAATCTTCCTCTCAAAATAAACTATTCAACAATGAATTTTGCTATCTCTGGAAAATAGACAACATAGCCTTCCATAAATGTTAGGACAACCTATAAAATACTTCTGTAGGCTTAGGGAGAAGTCTGTGTCCTATATTTTAAACCACTCAAACCCTTTCATGAACATATCCCTCCATAGTCAGATTCTAAGCAAACTTTCTAAACCATTAGGGTTTTAGACTCCATGCAAAGAAGCATGTGATAGCCTCAGTTTTTCTCTCTTGTTAGATTTGTAACAACGGAACTTATATTACTTAACATTATAGACTTCAAATTTCCAAAGAGTAGGGGTAATTTACATTCCTCACAACAGTAAAGAAAGCTCTGGTCCTACATTTTTAAAACAAAGTGAAAAGAAGAAAGGCAGGCTGGCAGGCAGGCAAGCTTACTTACATTTATAAATATGGTCAACCCTTAGTATTCATGGGTTCTGCATCTCTAAGTTTAATCAATCATGGATTAAAAATATTTGGCAAAAAAGAGGGTGGTTGTCTCTGTACTGAATATGCACAGACATTTTTCCCTTGTCATGATTCCCTAAACAATACAGTATAACAATTATGTAGCATTTACATTGTATTAGTATTATAAGTATTATAGAGATAATTTAAAGTGTATGAGAAGATGTGCATAGGCTATATGCAAATACTGCACTGTTTTATATCTGGATCTTGAGGAGATCCTCGAACAGATATCTCACGAAAATTGAGGATAGCTGTACATAATTTATGTCACATAATTAGCTATGTTACATGCAATGTAACTTACACAATCACAGAGAAATACATTTAAAATTTTTGACTAACATTATTGAAATTACGTAAAATTTTTTTAAGCATTCAAAAAATAAACGAGCTCTGACTTTTAAACTACACACCATCTACATATAGAAGGATGCCAGACTCTGTATTAGTTAATAACTGTAGAATTAGACTTATTTATGTAAGAATAAAAGTTTTACGTCTGTTTTGTATCAGAGGTGCTTGTATAAGATATCACAGAGAAATTATACTTTTCAGGGTTCTTTGTTAAAAGCAACCAAAACTAAGTAAACAAACATGACTTCATGGAGGAATGTCAGAAAATTCACATTATTGACATAAAGCAAGTTAGAATAGGTTTCAGAAAAGGAAAGAAAAGAAGGCAGAAGAAGCCACTCCCAAAATGACACCTAATGAATAATCTATGTAGAGCATGCTGCTACTCCTTCCACTAAAGTGCATTGCCATGAAAGACAAACCTGCCGCCAGACGCTGTTCCTCTGTTCTGCTGACACGTCGTGTCGTGTTAAGAAGGGGTTCTAATCCGGGAGCACGGAGGCCTGGCTCCTGCAGGGCCCCACAAAGCCAGGCGAGCCCCGGAGGCGTCCAGGCCCAGGCCTTTTTACTTAGGCGACGCTTAAGAGAGCGCGGCCGTACCCGGTGCATTGTGGGAGCGGCCCGTGGCCCGTTTTCCGGAGGAGGCGGAGGGCGCAAAGCGAGCTTGTGGATCCTTAAAGAGCCCAGCCAAACGGCAGAGGGCGGGCAGGGGCTGAGCAGTGAGGAGAGTGGGTCTCAGAACCATGTCTACGCGGGAGTCCTTTAACCTAGAAAGTTACGATCTGAACAAGAGCTTCTGGCTAACGAGATTCACTGAACAGAGGGCGCAGGTGGCAAAGTGCCCCAAGACGTCCTGCAGAAATTGCTGGAATCTTTATAGGAGCACCACTTCCAAGAAGATGAGCAGTTTCTAGGAGCCGTTATGCCAAGGCTTGGCATTGGAATGGATAAGTCTGTCATTCCTTTGAGGCAGGGTGGGCTTTCCTTGGTTCAAACCACAGATTATAATTACCTAATTGTAGACGACCCTTACGTGATGGGCAGGATAGCATGTGCCAATGTCCTCAGTGACCTCTACGTAATGGGGGTCACGGAATGTGACAACATGCTGAAGCTCCTTGGAGTCAGTAATAAAATGACTGACAGGGAAAGGGATGAAGTGATGCCTCTGATTATCCAAGGTTTTCAACAACAGACTTAAAGAGAGCCAAATCAAGAACAAACTGCCATTCACAATTGCTACAAAGAGAATAAAAAACCTAGGAATACAACTAACAAAGAATGTAAAGGACCTCTTCAAGGAGAACTACAAACCACTGCTCAACAAAATAAGAGAGGACACAAACAGATGGAGAAACATTCCATGCTCACGGTTAGGAAGAATCAGTATCATGAAAAAGGCCATACTGCCCAAAGTAATTTACAGATTCAATGCTATCCCCATCAAGCTACCAGTGACCTTCTTCACAGAACTGGAAAAAAACACCTTAAACTTCATATGGAACCAAAAGAGAGCCCACATAGCTAAGTCAATTCTAAGCAAAAAGAACAAAGCTGGAGGCATCACACTACCTCACTATACTACAAGGGTATAGTATACCATACTATACTACAAGGGTATAGTATACCATACTATACTACAAGGGTATAGTATACCATACTATACTACAAGGGTATAGTATACCATACTATACTACAAGGGTATAGTATACCATACTATACTACAAGGGTATAGTATACCATACTATACTACAAGGGTATAGTATACCATACTATACTACAAGGGTATAGTATACCATACTATACTACAAGGGTATAGTATACCATACTATACTACAAGGGTATAGTATACTATACTATACTACAAGGGTATAGTATACTATACTATACTACAAGGGTACAGTAATCAAAACAGCATGGTACTGGTACCAAAACAGAGATGTAGACCAATGGAACAGAACAGAGGCCTTGGAGGCAACACCACACATCTACAGCCATCTGATCTTTGATGAACCTGACAAAAACAAGCAATGGGGAAGGGATTCCCTGTTTAATAAATGATGTTGGGAAAACTGGCTAGCCATGTGCAGAAAGCAGAAACTGAATGCATTCCTGACACCTTACACTAAAATTAACTCCAGATGGATTAAAAACTTAAACATAAGACCTAACAGCATAAAAACCATAGAAGGAAATCTAGGTAAAACCATTCAGGACATAGGCATAGGCAAAGACTT